TCCACTAGTTTGTAATTTTCTATATTACTTTTAGAGAATTATCTGTTTTTTTATGGAAATGTTTTTTTTTTAAAAAAAAGGTTAGTAAACTATCTGCGACCTTTCGCTTAGATAAGGTAATCATCAATCTCAGGTGCGGCAGACGAAAACTTCCGCTTTACGACAGAGAGCAGGAAGCCAAGAATCTCTTTCGTCTCTTGGCAATGTTTCCCTTGCTTCTTCCAGAATATCTAGAACTGGATTTACACCTAAACCCCAGGCAATTAAACATACTCTTGCCATACAAACGCTGTTTGCATTTTACCTATGTAACATGTAAATATGTGTACTTCATAATTTTTTCAATTTACGTAATAGTTTCTGATTTTGAAATTTTCTGCGACCGATAAATACGATTATTTTAGAGGCCCATTGTTATAGCGTCAAATCAAGGACAAAGCGAAGTTATAAAATCCTTACAAGTATGCACGTTTGAAGAAAACGTTTTTAGCATGGGATAACTTACAGTTAAGCAACTGAATTTACCCGTTTCATAATACAGGTATTTTAAGGAAACTTTAAGAGAAAAAGAACGGCATATTGAACAAATGATAAAAGAACGCGAATTTGAAAAGACTGAGATGGCACGAATGGAAGCGAGGTATGTGGGTGTAGCTGTGAAGGCTACCGATAAGAGTGGTGGTGCCAGTGAAGAGGAGCTTATTGAGATGAAGAAGAAACTGAGCGATGTAGAAACGGAACTTCTGAATGTACATATCCAGCTGAAAGAGAAAAATGAGGTTTGTTGTAGTTGTTAAGCATTCTAGTTTTATGTGTATTATCATCATCCTCGTAAAATGCTTCGCATCAATCTTTTTAATATTTTGTTTTAGAAACCTCATTTATCGCGTTTTGTAAGTCAAATTTTGTAATTTTCTACCTCAATTTTTTGAGTCTCTTTTTTTCATTTTTGGTTAGATCTCTGGTGGTACGTTTAGCTAAATGATTCTTCGGAAAGATATGGGTAGGTGGTGTCCTTCTCACTGTTTAGGATGGTTGCTTTCAAACAAGTGTTCTACTTAATTGAAGTAGTAATGAGCTTGTTGTTTGGTCAGTTGCTGTGACCTAGTAACGATTAAGTTTCTCCGGCTTAATGGCTTTTAAAAGTTTAAAGACTTTAAAGCTTTTAAAAGAATGTAAGCAAACTTGAATTTGGTGGAGGCTTTAGAGCTTTGTTGTTGATTGTTAAAGTTTTGTATTGATGAAAATATATAGAATAGTGGTGATTCGTGAAGTTTTGGTTTGTTAGCATTAAAGCAGGTACTTGAGTAAGCGAGCTTTAAACATTAATGGGAAATTTGAGGTGTTTTACTAATTTAACGCCTCGCTTTCTTTTTAAAACTTTGCTGGTGAAGGTGAGGGATGTTAAAGATGCTCTCTTGACAGCTCAGGTGTTGCGAGTGAGTAATTTCAGTAATTTGGGAATGAGCATCTTGAATTTTTATTAAGGGTGGACGGGAAAAGGAGAGTAGGACCATTTTTGAGTGTCGATGAAGTCAATAAAATGGTTGAGCTGGGCGATGAGCAAAGTGTTTATTTTCCTTCAATTAAAGAAAAAGTTTTTTTTTGGAATAAATTATTTTTGTTATTGCTATCGATGAGGGGTTGAGGCATTGTGTTATGTTATGAATTTTAGTTCAATGATTGTGCAAAAGTTGGTGGTTGAAGATGAATGAACAAGAATTTTTAATTTAATTATTTTCTCTTCTCGCTTAATAGTCAACGTTTAGGGTTCTTCTACAAAAACTTTAATTTAGAAAGAAAGTAACAGTGAAGACTTACTCTAAAATGTTTAAAATTGCGGGCAATGAGTTGTTAAAAATATTTTTGAAGCAAATGACTCCATAATTCTGCAAAGTAATGTCATATATTTGTTGCGGAGTAGATTTTGAAGGGCAACTGTTAGGTTCAGCTTCAGATTTCCGCCTTGTTCACTATACTTCTTAAACTTAAGTTATGTAAGTCGAAAGTCGCAACTCATTTGAAATTTTGTCTTTGGGGTATTTCAGAGTTGTGCGCTAACAATGTCAGCAAGCTATCCTTTTTTTTTTTTTTTTTATATTAGTTCTGATTATACAAGGTCTCCTGCATCTGAAATAATTTTTTAAGTTTTATTTTACACAGCTATTTTGGCTATACAAGTTTAATTTGAAAAAAGGTTATTGGTTTGGGTTGAGTTATAGCTTTTTAGAAAAAGAATTTATTTTTTTGAAACTTGCTGCTTTTTTTTCATGAAACTCATATTAACCGTTTGTTTTTTCTTCATTTTACCTGCTACAAAGGTATGAAGTACTGTTATTTTGCTGTAGGATATCGAGAACCTTAGATTTTTATTGGATGAAGAGAAAGTTCTCAATGAAGAATTAAAAGAAAAGTTAACTGAATTGGAGAAGCGATCGAAAGAAAAACTTGATTCTGAAGTAAGATTAAAAGTCCTACGTATGGTTTTTATATGCCTCGACATGAATTTTTTTCTGGGTTGTTTTGATTGTTTTAGCACTAAGTAAAATTTGCATTCTTTTATTTTTTAGGCCTCCAAAATAGAAGCAGATCTTTTCAATAAGGCAGAGTTATATGAAAAGCCGAAACCTCAAGTTTCTGAAGAAGGACTTTTACCTGTCAAAAGTAACGATGGCAAGTTTTGACTCTTAAAAATTTAGACCAACTTTTTAACTGTTACATGTTCATTAATTGCTTGACCAATTATTTTACTGAGGCACTTAGTCGTAATTAATATGACCTTCTTCTGGTTGATCAGTTTTTATATCATAAATATTGTTGCTGGAATTCGTATTTTTGTTGAGAACGCATTACATGACTAAATTTCTTAGTAATGAGTTTAGCTCAGTTGTAATGTTAACTTTTGAACCAAGGTGTTTGCAGAAAATCTTGAAAGTTTGATGAAGGAGCTTGAATCAAAGAAATCTCTCCTTTCTGAAAAAGTAGAGGAGGTATGGGCACGTTGACTTATCACTTTCTTCGTTGTTTTGTTGCTTTGTACTTTACAGTGCTAGTTTTATTTTAAAGCAAGTCACATCTAAATTTTAGATCTCAGCTTTGAAAGCTAATGTAGAGTCACTTCAAAGTGAAGTTCTTCGATTAAGAACTCTGTGTGCTGAATCAGAAGTTGAAATGAAGAATGCGAGGCTACGCATCTTGAGGTCAGTGGAGTTAAATATTTTGATAATTTTATATATCCAGCACTTTTAAGAAAGCCGTTTAATCTTGCAACGGGAAGATTGAAGTGTTTTTTCTTTTCAAGATGTTGGTGGTCCTGAATGGAATATATATATTTTTATTATTTTTATTTATGCTGAGTGCTAAAAGAAATTTTAAAGCAGTTTTGTCTAGTGATTTTGATGAGAACTAAGATTTTTGCCTGTCTGAACAACAAGTCAGATGAACCGTTTTTCAAATTTCCCATTTGCAAATTTTAGTTACGAAGAAGAAAAGAAATCAAAAGAAAGAGAAGATCGCGAGAAGGAAGGAAAGGCGGGTTTACTTTTTTGTTCATTAATAGTTGATACAAATTTAAATTATCTTTTATACTTGGCTGATACATTACAGAGATAGTAGGACCTTAATTTTAATTTTAATTTATGATTTAATATTTTTGTTTTTCTAGCTCAGCTTCATTATGAATTTATGGTAGGATAGTCACTTGATCGTTTGATTAAAACTTGCTCGCTAATGTTTATTTTGTTCATTCAGGTGTTTTTTGTTTAAAGAATAAATTTAAGTTTTTATTTTATTTTAGAAAACTGTGGTTGATAAAAATTCTCAACTGCTGGACGAACGTGAAATTGAGGTTAAATCACTGAAAGAACTTAACGAACAGTTGATGAAGAGGGTTGAGAGGTGGTTTACTTGCATGTTTGTTATGTTAGAAGATCCCCTCTTTAATTTTTTTTTTCTTGTCAACTCAACCTCTAGCATGATTTCAGCTTGGAAAACGAGAAAAAGGAATTTGGTGATACAATTGCAGTTTTGGAGGAAAAAAATTGTGCAGCAGAAAAAAACTGTGAAGTTGCTCACCTTGCTCTGGAGCAGTTGAAAAAAGAAGTAAATATTTTTTTAAAGAATACTTTTTGAAAGGACTGTAGTTAACTACTAAGTTAAAGCAGTTATTTCCAGTTGGTTTCGAAAGAGACATCATCTGAAATCAGCGAAACACTCAATAAAAAGAATGATGAGTTGGCAGAATACCGAAAGAAATGTGATGAGCTTACAGAAGGGCTTAAATTGTATGTTTTCCTTATTGAGTTTTGGCTGTTTGTCTTAATTTTCCACGACTAAGATGCTAAATTTACAGAGCTACTAGCGCGAAAATTCGATTAGAGGGGGAATTAAGTGATATGCAGTCTCAGTTGGAAGCGGCAAAGGTTAAATTCTGTAACGAGGAAGAAGAATGGAAGGCTAAAGTATGCTTAAAATATTATTTTTTTGGTTATTTTTAAGGTTTTACTTTAAGCTTATTTTTTAGCTGCGAATGACTGAGAAAGGAAAAGATGAGATTGCGAGTAATGCCGTCGTCCTTCAAGACAAAGTGGTGATGCTTCAGTCTCGAATTGCTGAACTGACAGAAGGACTGAAAACGTAAGCTCGGTTTATCTTCACGAGAAGAGCTTTTTAGTCGTCTTTTTAGTAATCCGGGAACTTTTGAAGGTCGTGGAGAAAGTACAGTAAAGTGTTAATTTTGTCTAGAACATTGATTCCAGGGCAGCTGCCAGTAATGAAGCACTGGAGGCAACTGTTAAGGCAACTTCTGATCAAGCAGAGGAAAGCAAAAAGTCTCGGGAAGAATTAAATACTAATTTAAGAAGGACCCTTGAAAATGTTGAAACTTTAAAAACTAACGTAAACTTTTTCAAATTGTTTATGATTGTAGCCTTCATCTGATAAATTTTTTTGTCAAACTTTTAAGCTTTAAACTTATTACAGTTCTGCCAAATCTTGTATTTCTGTAAAATTTATCTCGCAGAAACAACTTCTTACTTAACTTATTCTTAGTTTTCTCGAAGTTTGTCTGTACAAATAAGCTGCCAAAATTTCTTGTAATTAAAGTTTTTTTGGCGTTTTAAATTTAAAAGTAGAGATTAAGTTCTAGTTTTTTAAAAACAACGAATTAAGAAGTTTTATAGCCATGTAATTCACCTTATTTTTTTTGGTTGATTTCTTTGCTAAATCTTTCATTTATTGTGAGCAGACTAAGCTCGACGACTGTCAGTTACAGGTGGCGAAGCTTGAGACGGAAAAAGCCGATTTGCAAAGAAGCAACGC